GACCGTTTTCGCTTGACGTTGTCGTAAGTGACCCACTTTTCATCACCAGTCACCATCCGCTGCAGAAATGGGTCGATTTTGTTGCGATTCAGCAGCGATTCGCAGATGGAAATTCGGTCCATTGAGTTTTTTGCGTTAACTCGTGTGGCACCCTTATAGAAATGTCATACTAAGAATCATTGATAATTACTTATTATCCAGTATTTTTAATACTGAAAATAAGTAATTATCAATGATTCTTAGTATAATATTTCTATAAGGGCACCCATACATCGAGCTTCTTTTTGTATCCAGCCTTATTCAAGTGGTTCCAAACGGTTTTTTGTGCAATGTTTAGCTCCTGGGCAATCGAAACAGTGCTTACATGACGGTCGGACTCGACGATTTCCATTATTTTATCGACATTTTCGACAATTGGTCTTCCAGAGCGTGGTGCATCTTTGACATCAAAATTACCGGAACGGAATCAACGAAACCAAAATTGCACGTGATTGGCTGTTGTAACAGTATCAGGACCATAAACACTATTCACATTTTCAGCCGCCTGGATTGCGTTTTCGCCTTTATCGAAGAAAAACTGTAAAATATAGCGTATTTTCTCTTTGCTGGTGTCCATCTTTAACGCGCGCTCAAACAATACTGAATCAAACAATCACAAAACTGTCTGAGAAGTTTTCTTAATACTAAATCTTATCTTTCTAACGCCATCTAGCGTAAACCGATCGCTCTTATACAACACGAGATACACATTACTAAAGCCATCTATTGGAAAAATAATGGATTTCTTTTTATTACACCTTATATATAGGGTCTCTAGTTTATATAATACTATTTGTACAGATTCATTATTAAAGTAATATTATATAGACTAATCCAAAAATATTTGTATCTTAGAAATAATTTGTACCTTAGAAGTTGTGCGCCCCAGAGTATAATGAATTCTGGCCAGAAGAGATCTACTCCACACATCCACAGCTTGCACGTAAATCAGAATTATTACCAGAATCATACCACAAATTAACACTTCTGGCTTCAGGGCATAAACTTGCATAAACTTATAGATGTAGTTTAATAGAGTATTAAACCAGACATTTGACACAGTGGGAACAGCCACAGTAAACTTGGACGCAATCTTCATGTGTGATACATATGTCTGTGGGAAAAATACAAACAGTTAAAATTTTTTAACATTTCTAAACACAAATTAATTAATTTTCATAAAATACCCAATTTTATGTAAAGACGAATCTTAAAAAATATGAAAATCGATAATAAAAAGAGAGAAAGAGAGAGAAAGACATATTTATTTATAAACTTAGAAATAAATGTTTTTCTTTATATAGGTTGTTATAGAGAAGAAATTAACTTTTTGTTAACTTTTAATATCAGATTTATTAATGTTTTCTTCATGCTTTCTTTGTGTAATATAGGGCAAGTCATATCTTACATAACTTCTTTAGTTTTGTTATAACAAAAAATATGTATATTCAAGCAAAACATGTTCTATTCAAAAGATATATATATATATATATATATATATATATATATATATATATATATATATATA